CCCTCTCTATAGGGACCCCCCCCCCTATGGACACGCCAGTGATGAAGTGTTGAGGAGGTGGGCTTATTCCGCTGTCCCGCCGCGATCTGCAGTGGCCTAAGGCATAAAGCCGACCAAAGTCGTTTCACATCCTCGACGATCCGCCTTGTCAACTCTCCAGCCATGCTTCGTCTGTCGGTATCCCTCCTTGTGCTACTTCTGTGCACGCTGGTGCGTAGCTTCACGCACGCGCCTCGGCACCTCTCTCGTCGAGCACCCAGCACGGCATGCTACTCCCCTCCTCCTCCACCCACTCCCGACCCGAAAAGCTTCGAAGACCTCTGCGGCGAGAAGAGCGACCTCAAGCATCCGTGCTTCGTCCACTGGGCTGGTTCGCTCGACTACGTCAACATCGTTCCCTTCCTTGAGCCAGTTGATGTGCTCAGCGAGATCGTCGTCAAAAACGATGCCCTCACAGAGTTCACCATTCGCAACGCAAGCGATGCATTCATGATCACCTACCGAGACGCTGGTAGGGTCAGCTTTATCTATTCGAACTTTGCTAATGGGTGCTACAATGTTACGCTCGTCCAGGGAGACAGCGAGAATTGGAGGATCTGGTTTGCCGATGACACCGGAAACGACAGAGATGTCGATACGCTCAACCAGCGACTTACCGGCAAGCGCGTCTGCGATAAGTGGGGTCATATCCATGTCAAGGACGATTCGCATTGGTACAATCAGAAGCGCTAGACGAGCATTTGACCGTCATTGCAGCCTCAGAGACGACACCTCCCGACTATACACCTTCATGATCTCCATTCATGTTTTCTCTTTGCATTTGCTTTCGTCCATCGCACTCAGACCGCTTTCGCAATTCCATGCTTCACATTTGCACCCGATCAAGCTCGTTGAGGCACCCAACTCTGTTCGTAACGTGTTCCGTATACTGGTGACGCCCGAGTAGTCGTGAGTGGCGATGCGACTGCTATTTTCGACACCTACAGCACACGGCCACCTCCTTCGAAACGGCATGCTTCAGCGAAACTCACCATCATTCCTCAGCAAAAACGTTGACGGTGTCTTTGATCTGCATGTTTGAGTGGTCAATCAAGCACGCTATGCGGAGATGTCTTCTGATGGGTCTGTGCTGCGTGAATGGTGAGCTAAATCAGCGGTGGCTGAAGAATGAGCATCGGAAATTTGGTGGAGCCGATGCTTAAATCCTTGCTTGCGATACAGCCTTAGTTGTTCTGTCTCAATGTACATGTAGAGACGACCAAGGTGAAGTTACCCAACCAGGTAGCAGCAAGCAGTGGCGCAGGGGACCATGAGACGGCAAGAAGCTTGAGCAACGGACGGGTTCTAGATGCTGATCGATAGCCTCTAGGAGCTTGGTCCTGATCTCAAGCAAAGGGCAGCGTGTTCCAACTTGGGGCGAGGAATGTAGCTATGCGACTGAACTGGTGCACGTGTGATGCATGGCTGCGAATTGCGAAAGGTGGTCTGGGTGGTTTGGTTCGATCTACGGGAGCGAATGCAAAAAGAGGAGATATCTGCCGGTTCATGAAGACTTTCGAATGACAAAGAGAAGCTGCAACTGTGGCGGGCAACAAGGCGAAGATCTGTGAACGAGTGCCTACGAGCGAGGGGGCTTGGGAACCTAGAACTCGTTGCCGTCGTACTTGACATGGAGATGGGCCCACTTTGTGCAGAATTCGACAGGGTCGGGGTTTTCGTTGTGGAGCGTGTCGACTTTGCGCTCCTTGTTGTCCTGATCCGAGACCCAGATCCTCAGAGTAGTGTCCTTGGATCTCGAGACCTGGATCGTATAGCAGCCGGTGTCCTTCTTGTAGTCCTTGTACGAGAGCGTGGCCTGACCATCCCAGGTCAGGCTAAACGGTTTGGTTGGATCACGAATGGTGAAATCTGAGACAGAAAAAACGATCAGCCCCGGTTCAAAATGCCTAAAGATGGGTGAAAGAGCATACCTTCTAGGAAGCCGTTCTTGACCAGGAATACGTCCTTGTCAGGATCGGCTTTGGGGTCGTCGATGGTGGCCACAACGTCTCCCAGGTAGCCGCTCCAGAAGGTGAAGCAGGGCCATTTGGGATCGCCACCCGTGGGAGTGTCGCCATCGCAGTGCTTGCGGTACTCGGCATTGCGAGGAAGCAGCTTGGTGTAAGGAACGCAATTGCGCCGAGCAGGACGAGGAGGAGGAGCCACGACCTGAGGCATCACAACGGCAGCCCGCGCTACCGTAATGAACAGAGCAACGCTCAGCAGCTGGATGTACATCGCAAACATGATGGGTAGTGCTCGATGTAGAGTGATCAAGGTCCGGCTGCAAGCCCTCAGCATCGCGTTTTATGTGGTGCCGCTCGTTCGGAGAGCCTCGTCAGTGGGGCCTAAGATGACCGGTCGAAGTTTCGCAGAAGCCCACATGACTGAAATGAACCAGGTCCGCATTGGTGGTCTCCGTCCCCACCCTTCGTGAGTGGAGATGTGGGTGCAGCCAGAAAGCTCGAGCACGACATGCGTACAAAGGTGAACTAACGAATGCTGCATCCTTCTCAGCATATCCATGCGGTGGCGACCGTCGACCATGATGCAGGGGCGAAGGTGGGGAGCTTCATTTGTATCGCGTCGCCCCATCATGCGAAGGGAACCGATGCGAACCGAGGGGTCTGCATCTTCATCTCGGTGCCACTGGAAGCCTAGAAAAGCCACATCGCTCCACAACGTTCACGGATTTCGACTTTGTATCATGCCGTGGGCACCTTCACTTCGGTGCAGATGCGGGTCTCGACATGTGATAGCCCACCTCGACACAAGGAAGTGAGGCTGAAAAGCAATGCACGGAAAGGACCCGTCAGCCTCTCCTTGCCACAAAGCCCCACCCAGGATCAATCGCCTAAAAAGACCAAGTATCTTCGTTTGTCGCTGGCTTGGACCACACCACACTGCCACTACATCCACCATGAACCCGAGGCTGCGATCTTGTCTGCTTTCCGCGTCCGTCTTGGCGCTGTTCATCGCCAGCGCGTCTGCGCTGAGCGTCAACAAGCGATTCATTGGCGATGAGGCCAACTTCGATACAGTCGAAGCCTGCCAGGTGACGGAGCTACCGATCCGCGGCGCAGAGTACGAAGCCGTGTGCGGAGATAAGAGCGACCCAAAGCATCCATGCTTCACGCACTGGCACGGCGATCTGACGTCGGTGCACATCGCTCCATTCCTAGAGCCCATCGACAACATCCAAGACGGACTCGCGATCAAAGACGACAACAACTTTACGGGTGAGCGCTGCCTTCTACTCCTATTCGTCCTTCAGGCCGACTGACGATTGCTTCGTTGTGGTTCGCTAGACTTTTCGATCAAGGACCCTTCCGTCTCGTACGTGATCACCTACGTGGGACTGGGTGAGGTGCAGTTCATATACTCGAACTACGATCCGAAGACGGGGTGCTACGACATCGCGCTCAGGCGCGGCGGCCGCCAGCAATGGAGGATCCGGTTCTCGAACGACGTTGGAGACGGCTGGGACCTGGACACGAAGAACTACGATTACACTTGGGGCCGGTTCTGCACAAAGTGGGGGCACATCCGCGTTGGCTATTCCGACTATCTCGAATGGGCTCTCTAGCAAGTGCGTCCTGCCAGCCGAGGTCAAGTTTCCAAGCAAAAGCTATGCCCACTGCTTCGCTTCAATCGAGAAAGCATAGTCTGTTCATTCTAGCTCGTCGCGGGTTGATTGGTGATCGTAAAGTGCTTTGTTCGATGAGATGCTGTGGCCGAATTGCTTGACTTGCTGGAGACGACTAGGCTGCAGATGTCCGCCAGCTTGAGCTTCCGGCCATGTGAGCTTGAGGCCTGTCAATCGGCAGCAGAGCGTCACGCCGAGCTGCGCGCGGTGAAGGCGGCCGCGTGAAAGGCAGCGGATTTGCGCACGGGCAGGCAGCATTTTCGGCAACGTTACCGCCCGTAGTTACCGCCCTGCCGCGTTTGCGGGGTAAAGGAGCAGACCTCGCTCGCTCCCCGACTTCTTCCCCACGCACGTCCACGATCTACAGGCTGAGCCCATCGCCAGCTTCGTCGTTCTTCCTGACCACACGCCGAGATATCTCTAGCGCCTCGACTCGCCATGTCGAATTCAAACGCGCCAGCCAGGGCGCCACTGAACGATGCGCTCAAGCGCTCGATGAACCACCGTGTGAAGCCCAACACATTCACGGTGGACGGCATCGTCAACGGCCTCTTCCGTCCGCTGTTCCACTCGCCGACTCTCTCGACCATCGCTACGATCCTGTCGCTCGTCAAGATCCTGGGAGGCGCGAGCAACCTCAAGTTCACACGCGATAGGACCGATCTCAGCCGACGCGAGAAGCTCTCGTCGCTCACGGCCGACTTTGCCGCGGGCTGGGGCGAGAGTTCGAACCGCTTGGCACGCTGGTACCTGATCATCCGGTTGCTCAAGGCGATCAATGCCATCGGCAACCGATTCGTGATCAACCGCGAGCCTCGTCGCCACATTCGATGGCACGACCACGTTGTTGTGATCACGGGTGGCGCGCGAGGAATCGGCGGCCATGTGTGCAAGCTGCTGCGTCAAAAGGGAGCCACGGTGGTGGTGCTCGACCTGCCCGAAAAGTCGGAGCACGGCCTGGAGTCGCTGTACGTCCAGACGGACGTGACGGACATCCAGTCGCTCATCAACGCCAGGAAGGTGGTGGAGGACAAAGTGGGATATGCGACCATGGTGGTGATTGGTGCTGGTATTGCTCGACACTCGTTCCTGCTCGACACGGAGGAGCAGTTTCCCTACGAGATGGCCAAGCAGGTATCCGATGTCAACTTCCACGGCATCATGGCCACGCTCAAGACGTTCGGCGAGCACATGCTGCCCGACGGCGGCGTCAAAGACCGTCCCTTCAAGCAGGCCAAGAATGGCTGGGGTGGTCATATCCTCATCATCGCCTCTGGCGCCGCTTACATTGAGTACGTACATCATCCTCCCCGTTCCCCTGACGAGACCAGAACTGACCTTTTTCGTTCACAATTGCTCCATAGACTGCCTGCGAATGCGGCGTACAATGCATCCAAGGCGGCGGCTGTGTCGCTGCATGCCTCGCTGTCGTCGGAGCTGCACGCGTATCACAAGGTGGACAACGTGCGCAGCTCGGTCATCTGCCCGCTCAAGATCGAGTCCAAGATGACCGAGGGCCGAATGCTCGATACGCACGACCAGTTCCTGCTACCCACGCTCACCATCCCGGAGGCGGCGACCAAGATCGTTGACATCCTCGGGGGCGACAAGAGCAGGGTGGTGTACATCCCTCGAGCCATGTATGTGCTGAGCATGACCAAGGTGTTGCCGCTGTGGTCGGTACGCCTGGTGGGCAAGTTGACCGGAAGCATGGACACGTTCCTGACGTACGCCAAGGAGTTCCGAAACAACGAGGACAACCTGTACCAGAAGTAGCTTCCACATGCACCAAGAGTAGCTTTGCTCGTGTATATATGTCGTCCAAATCATCCAGACAGCAACATGCTCCTGCTATAGATCGTCCTCAGCGTGCGCCATCGGGGTCCAACGATCGGGATTGAGACAGAGGCTGGTCGGAAGAAGAAGCCGGAATTCCCAGCTCGGCGACTACAACCGCCGCGGAGAGCCGTTGGAAAATGGGCCGCAAAGAGCCATTGTATGCACGCTCAACATGCAGTCGGGATTGGGGAGGAAGAAGCCAGAGTCTTTCTTTTGCTCGGCAGGAGGGGAGTTGTCAGAGGCACAGGGGCTGGTCAAAAACTTGGCACCACACCACACCAAAGCTGCTCGGACCAGCCAAAGGGAAGGGCTGCAAGCATGCTGCCGGATGTGGCGAGCCGCCTGCACCTCGTCAACGCATGCTGCCTTTGCATGCCGCGACGCATAAGTTAGACCATCAGAGCGAAGATCGGCAGTCGGGCCTTCCGAGCATCTCTCGTCGGAGCAGCCATCGCCTTTCATAGACAGGAGTCGCATGGGAATGAAGAACGATCGAGATGCCAAGAAGCAGTGTCGGAGCTTCCGAGTAGATTCTCGCCCCACCTTGGCCCTATGAGACCAGCGTGGACCCAAGACGGTCTTTCTGAGACTGCAAACGGGGAGCCTAGCTCAGTCTGGCCTCGATGATCGGATTAGAAGTTGTTTGCTGCCCGGACCTGCGACGAAAAAAAGAGGGCACTCACTGCATTGCCGCAGGCTTTGCTGGAACCTCATGCTGTGCTGTGCAGTGTGGTTTGCGACTTGCAGCAAATGCTGTGCTGTCAAGGTACCAGTGGAAACTCGAAAAAAAGAGACGCGAAGGTGCACCTGCACTGCAGCGGCACGGCACTTGCCCGGCACGTCGCGCGTCTGTGTCAAAGTGGAGACAGCGTGGCGGCCAACTCGACTGAGACAGCAGGGCTGCGTGTCGCGCCGAGTACACAAAGCTCGGTGGACCCTGAGAGGGGCATAGCAGCCCTGCCAAGCGCCGCACCAAGCCCCTTTTGGCTCTGGCTCGCCCATTATTCGGCTCGGCTAGCTCTGAAAACTTTTCCGCACAGCGGTCCGTGTGCTGTAGCGTGAACCGTGCCCGCTAGTCTCGAGAGAGGCCCACACCAAGGTCGCGCGGATGGGTGTGCTTGGGATGAAGCCACGGTGGGATTGCAGCCTTGATTTGAGTGTCGGCGTTGGCCGCTGATCGGCGCGTCCGAGCGTAGGCTGGCGCGTTCGAGTGTTGAAAAGGCACAGCACGGCACAGCAAGGCACAGCGTGGCACCGCTTTGGCTCGGGCGGAAAAGTGGAAAAGAAGGCGGCCCGAGCTGCCAAGGTGTGCTGCGTGTAAGTTGCTGTAAAGTGGATTTCGGGATGGCCGAGATGGGCAGCGCCCAGCGGAGCCCGAGCGATTCCTGCAGTGCAGGGCAGAGCAGAGCAGAGCTGCCTCGCCCTCGCCCTCGCCCTCGCCCTCACCCACACGCCCGCTCGGATGGGGCGCGTTGATGGTGGCCGCCGAGATGCATTGCACCCCTTCACTTCCCCTATCCCTGCGCTCCCGACCTCACCTCGCAGTGTCGCCCACCTCATTCTCAACCCACCACCGCTTCCCGCCCTCGGTCGCTCGCCATCGTCATCGCTGCCGCTCCTTCGTCTCTGTCCCCCACTCCACACCACCAATCCTCCGTCTCTGGCTGCGAACGACCCTCCATCCCTTCTCTCCCCCACCACATCGCTCCATCCGAACCACAGCTCTCCCCCGTCGCCATCGCCTTCGGCGTCGCCGCCTCCCGCTGCTCCGCCCTTCTCCATCCCGGACAAAGCATTCGCTTCGTATCTCACCACCATCGACTCGACAGATACCCGTGCATGCGGCCGGATCCGCCCGCACACTTTGCCTCATCTCGCATAGCAGACAGCCATTACAGCTTTCGTATCAGCCTCTCAAACCATCTATACATCGAGTGACAGCCTCGCCGCACCTCTGCATGCTTCCTCGCCGTACAAGCACCACATAGTCTGTCCGCTTGCAGCGCTATACATTCTCATCCCAGTCGTGGCTCTCGCTCCTCGCTCGCTGGACCGAGTAGAGCACTCGTGCCATCGCTCAACATGGTCTTTGGTCGCTCCGAACAAAATCGTGGCCACGATGGCCTCGATCACGCCGGCCACCACTATGACCCCAACTCGCTCTCCCCATATCAACCCGGTCCGTCCGATCAGTCGTACATCACCGACCCCACACATCCCGACTACGATCCCATGGTCGACCCCAATCTGCAGCTAAAGACGGTGCGCACCGCAGCCGCCTCCATCGCAGAGTCGCACCGCTCAGAGCAACGCAGAGACGACCGGAGAAAGGCAAAGCGCTCCAACAGCCTCTCCCACAAGCTCTTCCGCGGTCGCACACTCCGCAAACAGCAGCAAAAGGGCTCCACCCTCGCACAAATGGTCTCCGAAGAGGCCAAGAAGCGCCGATCCGACGGCGTCTCGGGCTACCAGCCTTACGCTGATACCCCCTTCGCCTCGGCACAGCAGGGCACCGTGCCAGAAGAAGCCACAGCAGACGACACTGCCGCGCATCACGACGATGCCAAAGCCACCCCGGCCGCCGAGTCCGACTCGCAGCCTGCCGGCCCCACCATGCGCAAGATGAAGCCAAAGAAGCGCAGAAAAGTCTACGTCAACCTGCCTCCGCCCCGCTCCCAGCTGCGCAGCAACGGTGATCCGGACGTCGTCTATCCACGCAACAAGGTCCGCACCTCCAAGTACACCGTCGTCACCTTCCTCCCCAGATTCCTCTTCGAGCAGTTCCGCCGCGTCGCCAACATCTACTTCCTCGGCCTCGTCGTCCTCCAGGTCTTCCCCACCTTTGGTGCCACCATCCCTCAGATCGCCATGCTCCCGCTCGTCGCCATCCTCACCATCACCGCCATCAAGGACTCCATCGAGGATCATCGCCGACATGTGCTCGACAACGAGGTCAACAACTCGGCCGTCACCCGTCTCGGCAACTGGCGCAACCTCAACCAGGCAAAAGATCCTCGCTCCTGGTACCAGAAGCTCCTCGGTCTGTCCGGCCGAGGCAGCGGTAAGGTGTCCAAGGGCGTGCGCAAGCTGCGCGAAAAGGAGGACGCCATCGGCATGCGAGAGGTCAGCAGCAGTGGCCGCCGCACCGCCAACCCCGCCACCCAAGAGTTTGGCGCCCGTCCCAACGCGCGCAGCGTTCGCAGCGACAGTCTCGCTAGCTCTCATGCGCTCCACACCATCGCCAGCGAAAGTGAGCGCGACCACCAGAGCTTCTACGGCGCGAGCTACAACTACTCGAACGCCGCGCTCAATCGCGATCTCCACGGCGCCTATGCCGACCCAAACGCAAGCAGCGTTTCCGTCCATCAGCCCCTTCAGCCCAACCAGCAGAATCAGCAGCAGAGCGCAACCACCTTCTTCTCCAATGGCACTGCCGTCGAGGGCGTCGTCGACTACCGCCGACACACGCCCGGGACAGCTCGCTGGGAGCGCACACTGTGGAAAAAGCTCGAGGTCGGCGACGTCGTCCTCCTGCGCGAAGATGAGCAGGTCCCCGCAGACATCGTTGTGCTCAACTCCTCCGACCCGGACGGCAATGCCTACGTCGAGACAAAGAACCTCGACGGCGAGACCAACCTCAAGGTGCGCAAGTCTCTCAAGGCCACCATGGGCATCCAGTCCGAGGAGGACCTCGAGCACGCCCGCTTCGTCATCGACTCTGAGGCGCCCCACGCCAACCTGTACAGCTACAACGGCCTGCTCCAGTACACCGCCAGCGAGGCCACCAAGGAGGGCGACTTCACCGACACGCTCGAATCGCTGCCGCCCGACAGCAGCGCCTACGCCGCCATCGAAGCTCGCACGCGCCGCGTCGAGCCCATCACCATCAACGAGCTCCTCCTCCGAGGTTGCGCCCTGCGCAACACCGAGTGGGTCATCGGCGTCGTCGTCTTCACCGGCGAGGACACCAAGATCATGCTCAACTCGGGCGAGACGCCCTCCAAGCGCTCCAAGGTCGAGAAGGAGACCAATTTCAACGTCATCGTCAACTTTGTCATCCTCATGATCCTCTGCAGCATCTGCGCCGTCATTGGCGGCCTCCGTCTCAGCCGCACCAACACCAGTCGCGCCTACTATGAGATCGGCGCAGAGCTCAGCTCCAGCAACATTGTCAACGCGCTCGTCATCTTTGGCTCCTGCCTCGTCGTCTTCCAGAACATCGTCCCCATCTCGCTCTACATCTCCATCGAGATCGTCAAGACCATCCAGGCTTTCTTCATCTACCAAGATATCGAGATGTACTACGCTCCGCTCGACTACCCCTGCGTGCCCAAGACGTGGAACATCTCGGACGACTTGGGACAGATCGAGTACATCTTCTCGGACAAGACCGGCACCCTCACGCAGAACGTCATGGAGTTCAAAAAGTGCTCCGTCAACGGCGTCTCCTACGGCGACGGCATCACCGAGGCCATGATCGGCGCCATGAAGCGCGAGGGCAAGGACACCTCCGGCTTCAGCGCGGAGAGGCAAGAGGCAGAGCTCGCCGAGTCCAAGAAGCGCATGGTGGACATCATGAAGCGCGCCTTCAAGAACCGATACCTTCGCGCCGACAAGATGACGCTCATCTCGCCTCCCATGGCCGAAACCTTGGCTGCAAGCTCGACGGATCCGCAGCGCAAGAACGTCGTCACCTTCTTCCGCGCACTGGCGCTCTGCCACACCGCCCTCGCCGACCGCCCTGACGGCAACGACCCGTACACCCTCGAGTACAAGGCCGAGTCGCCCGACGAGGCTGCGCTGGTGGCAGCAGCGCGTGACGCTGGCGCCGTGTTCATCGCCAAGAACAACAACACCATCGACATCGAGGTGCTGGGCCAGCCAGAACAGTACACGCCTCTCAAGGTGCTCGAGTTCAACAGTACGCGAAAGAGGATGTCGATCATCGTGCGCGAGCCTGATGGCCGCATCCTCATGATCACCAAGGGTGCCGACTCGGTCATTTACCAGCGCCTGCGTCGCGATCATCCCGAAGAGCTCAAGCAGGCCACCTTCCGCGACCTCGAGGCGTTTGCCAACGCTGGACTCCGAACGCTCTGCATTGCCTACCGCTACTTGGACGAAGCCGAGTATGTCGAGTGGGCACGCATCCACGACGAGGCCAGCGCCAGCCTCACGGACCGAGACGACGCCATCGACGAGGCCAACGAGAAGATCGAAGTCGACCTCACGCTGCTGGGCGCCACCGCGCTTGAAGACAAGCTGCAGGTTGGCGTGCCCGAGGCCATCGAGACGCTTCATCGCGCCGGCATCAAGCTCTGGATCTTGACGGGTGACAAGCTGCAGACGGCCATCGAGATCGGCTTCAGTTGCAATCTGCTCACGTCGGACATGGAGATCATGATCATTTCTGCGGATCACGAGACCGGAACCCGCGCCCAACTCGAGGCTGCTTGCAACAAGATCGCCGCTGCTGGACGTCCCGTCGTTGTGGAAGAGCCCGCGAAGCGTCCAGGCGGCAAAGTGCGCAAGAACCGACTCACTGTGGCGCGCACCGAGCAGGCACCCAAGGACGGCTTTGCGGTTGTCATCGACGGCGAGACGCTGCGCTATGCGCTCGACACGAGTCTGCGACCGCTCTTCCTGGCGCTCACCACCCAGTGTGAGGCAGTGGTCTGTTGCCGTGTCTCGCCTGCGCAGAAGGCTTTGACCGTCAAGCTCGTCAAGGACGGCAAAAACGCCATGACGCTCGCCATCGGTGACGGTGCCAACGACGTCGCCATGATCCAGGAGGCTCACTGCGGTGTCGGCATCGCCGGCCTCGAGGGTGCTCAGGCATCAATGAGCGCCGATTACGCCATCGGCCAGTTCCGCTTCCTCACACGCCTGCTGCTGGTGCACGGTCAGCTGTGCTACCACCGCATCTCGGATCTGCACAAGGTCTTCTTTTACAAAAACATCATCTGGACGTCGATCCTCTTCTTCTACCAGATCGACTCGGACTTCACCGGCTCATACATCTTTGACTACACCTACATCCTGCTGTACAACCTCGTCTTCAGCTCGCTCTGCGTCATTGTCATCGGTGCGCTCGACCAGGTGGTCAACATCAAGGCTCTCCTCGCTTTCCCGCAGACGTACAAGCGCGGCATCCAAGGCGCAGAGTACACCAAGCCGCTCTTCTACATGAGCATGCTCGACGCTGCCTTCCAAGGCGCTGTCTGCTACTTTATTCCGTGGTGGTTCTACACCTACGGGCCCATGGTGGGCAGCGATGGCCAGGATATGGGCGGTCTCTCCATGTTCGGAACCTCGATCGCCGCGGCCGCCGTCACGACGGCAAACCTGTACGCTGGTCTCATCGCCAAGCACTGGACGGGCATGTTCTGGGCGGTGGAGATCATCTCGCTGCTCAGCGTCTACGCGTGGACTCTGGTGTACTCGGCGTTCCCGGTCTTTGCCTTCCAAAACGTCGGCTTCTGGCTCGTGCAGACGATCAACTTTTGGGCCGCCATCCTTCTCACCACCGTTGTCTCGCTGTTGCCCCGCTTCTTCCTCCGTGCGTGGCGCTCCTCGTTCAATCCGAACGAGCACGACATTCTTCGTGAGGCGTGGACGCGAGGTGACCTGAAGGACCAGCTTGGCATCCCGCATCACAGCAAGAAGAAGGCAAGGCGTGCGGCAGCCCATGCGTCCGGAAGAGGCGGATACGACGACAGCGGAATGGACGACTCCTTCACGGACAAGAGGAGGGATCGTGACATCGAAGGCCAGAGCGATACGCTCTTCTACGAGGCAAAGCGATCCACGGAGCGTCAACGTCGCGAGAAGCGCTTCAACGGTCTCTCGGCCGTCGGTGAGGAGGATAATGCCTCGGAGACGTCGGCCGACCCCCTGTCCGGAGGCAATTACGACGAGCGCCATGCACATGGTAATATGGCTGGCTTTGGTTCAAGGTTGCAAAGCCCGATGCATGCTGGCGATCAGCTCGCTTACGACCGCAACAATGGTGCCGTCTCGGGTCTGTCCTTCTACGATCCGGATGCGCTGCCTCAGAACGCAGATGGTCCGAGTCCTGCTGCGCTGCAGAGCTACTACGAGCAAGGTTACGATCCGCAGAGGACGCCGCGCGTTGGCGTTCCGATGATCCAGGTGCAGCGAGCGTCGGCTGCGATGAATTCAGGCAACGCCGCGCCGTACGGAGGACACGGGCCGATCCGGCAAGCTTCTAATGACAGCTTCAACCGTGCATTTGATGACGAGTTTGGCGCCGAGTATGACACGAGCGGAAGCCCGTATCCAGCTGCGAGCGGCTACGGGTACGCGCCCGCGGGGTCGAGGTCGGTCTCGGGCTCGAGCTATGCCTCTACAGCCACGCACACCCAGGTGCATCCGAGCATGCCGCGCAGCACGACTCACCAGGCCCCGGCGGCGGCATCGCACGAGGCGGAGTCAACGTCGCAGCCGACAACACCAGTCAAGTCGGCAGGTGCTCGGTACCACGACCGCTTCAAGACTCCGTCTCCTCCGCAGGCGACGCCGCACTTCAACGACGCCATGGTGCCTTCGGCATCCGAACAGAGTCTGGGCGTGGGCAGCGTCGCGACGCGAACGGGCGGTGGCCATTCGCACGAGCATTCTGGAGCGTCGCATGTGTCGTGGCACACGGCTCAGGGGTCGGAGCACAACGGCACGGATCCGCTGCAACGGCAGCACGAGCGCATGGCCTCGGACGCGTCCAAGTTCACAGCCCTCTGATGCGTGCTCGTGCGACCATGCGGCCTCGCCTTCATTCGCATCTCCCTTTTTTATGACTGCAACGGACCTTTTTTTCTAACGCTTTCCGTCTCATGTAACCAAGTGGCTTGTCGGCATCGATAGATTCATTTTCATCAGTGCGTGCGTTTATGAACTGCAGGTTTCTGACGATGCATCACTGAGTGTGGGACCGTGACAAAGGCGAGAGTCGGTGAGGTGTTTAGATTGGGCATGTGCTGTGATGCCAAGCATGAGAAAAGCGGATGCAAATGAAGGAAAGCGCCAAGCGTGAGTGCACGGTGAGTCGAGTATTTGCTCGAGCTTTGTGTATATAAGTGCTGTCTTGTGAGAGGATCCGATAGATTGTAGAATGTACATCTCAACAACATGTTGTTGGTCTTGATTCTGGTGATGGTTGTTGGGGTTGTAGCGCCTCTTTCTGCACGGGAGGCGTATGAAGCCAAGTATCGTGCTGTTGTTACGCCACTTTCGCTATACCTTGCGCATCCACCTGTGCTTGCGCCGGTGACACCGTCTAGATCACGTAGTCAGGCGACTTTGATGCGGGGCTACATGCATGCGCTCTTCAACCACCAAGCGTACATCCACCCTGACGCCGATAATCGTCTTGCTGCACTTCACATTCGAACCATCACCACTCTTACACACGAAGCCGAACCCCGTGCGAGAGACTACCAGAGTAAGTCACCCCCCCCCCCCCCCTCCCCATACTTGTTTGGAGATGGAAGCTGACAAGGGTTGAGAGCAGCGGGCTTGGTTGCGGTTTTCGAGGAGGCAGCAAATCAAGCGAAGGGGGAGATTCAGGTGGCGCTGCATCCAAGCAATGTCCGTGCACAACACATTCAGGCAGTAGAAAAGCTACAGGAAGAAGTCAACCGTGTCTTGGACGTGCTCAAGACAGAGGGCAATGTAGACCTCGTGACGAACAAGCTGGATATACACGAGAAGGCGAGGTTTATAAAGGCGTATGATGTGCTCAAGGCAGAAACGAAGCTGCTCAAAAAAGCTGCCAAACTTGCGACCAAATTTCCAAGCCTGTAGCTATCAGGCATTCTCGAGTCTGTCGACCAGCACTCACACTTCAGACTGACACTTCAGACTGTCAGGTGTCGCCGCAATTGGCATCTTCTTGGCGATGCTCTTTATCCGATCTCTTCCTGTGTGGGTGCAGCAGGGTTGCCACGGTGGCTCTTGCGACGTGTGGCTTGAAAGCTCGACTCGACGTGACAGGAGGAGCAGTGGGGCCGGAGGGTAATGTGGCGGGATACTCATGAGGCGTGACTAGCCAACATCAGCGAGACCAGTTCGGTCGTTTCCTCTTTTCGACTCGTATGGGTCGTTGCGTCGGACCACATTCGTCGCTTGCATATGCGGGTCTCTTCATTCACATTTCACAGAACAGCCTCGTCCTTGCAACGGGTCAACCTCGTCGTGTTGTCATCTAGTCTGTGGGCCTCTGAGCTTCCTGTGCAGCCACCAACATCGTCATCATCATACCGTATGAGATCATGCCTTCGGAAAGGAGCACAGTTGTCTGGCTTGCTTTCCTTCGGATGTGGGACTCAAAGTGCACCAACCTATGTACAGTAGCTACCGTACAGATCCATGAAGAGCGAGATCCTTGGCCGCGAGCTCCACTGAAGAATGACTGGGGGTGACGAGGAGCTTGCTGATTAGCTCCCTGACGATCTTGGCCACCTAAGTGCTTAGCTCGATGGATTCGTCATAAACAAATAAGATCTGGTGCGCATGCGAGGTCGAGTCGGTGCAAATTGAGTCCCGAATATGAAGCGATGCAAAAGATGGAGTGCAACGACGCACACATATATACTCAAAAAGAGGGTAAAGGGCGGGCGTTGGGTGCGTGCTAGACCATGCACGAAGCACGGACACGCGTGCAACGGAATCCCGTCCCTTGCAACATGAACGAGTCATACCCACCGCAATTGGTGGATCTCCGAGGCCAGCTGGGCAACACGTGTCGATGCTACGTGTGTGCAACGGGCTCCTCGCTTTCTCAGATGGCGCCGCCGGCTGATCGTCCGCCGATCTTCCGTATTAAAGCGGGGCAAAGCAGGCTACCGTTCTAGGAAACAATCAGCACCGCAAGCTATCGATATGCTGTTCTTTGCCTGCTTCTTGCTTTTTGCCGTTGGCGCTCTAGCTGGCGGTAGTTCTTCCCGACCAAGCCCGGACGTTGTGCGCTCGTACCGCAACTTGCACCGCGAGCTGCTTGCGCCCATCAATCTTTACAGTCCTCAGCCACAGACAATCGCACCTCTCGGTCCCCCCTGGAAGGGTCGCAACAAACTTGCAAACATGCAGAACTACATCCGAAACGTGTACAACCACGAAGCCTACATTGACCCCGAAGCAGGCGCTGTTCTGACCCGTCTGCGCGGCAACATGCAGTGGATTCTCAACAATCGCAACCATCCCCGCATCGGGGACTACCAACGTAAGCCATGATCTTGTGCTCCCTTTGATTGATCGAGTCGCTCTTATAGCATGCGCTAATGAGCGGCGTGTTCTTCATTTACAGGTAGCCTCGTTGCTGTTATGGAAGAGGCAAGCGCGCAGGCCAAGCACGATATGCAGAATGGTCTGCACCCGGTCAATGTACGCGCGCAGCATCTCGATCCCATCCGCTCCCTGTCGAACAAGGTTAGCGGTGTCGTGGACCTCTTCGGCGAAGGTAGATCCGAACTCATGAACAGTCACCTCGGACAGGCCGAACGTGATCGCTTCGCAAACGCTTTCGAAGTGCTCTTTTCCGAGAAACACCTGCTCAGCTCGGCCACCCGACTCGCTACAACCGTCCCTCGTCTCCACTAGCCCGTACGCTACACCCTTGCATCCCTCATGCAGTCTTTTATGTCTGTGACATAAAGACTGCAAGCGTACCCGTGCCACAGTCATTTCCTTGCGTGTCACTTTGCCGGCTAACGCTGAGCGTGTCCTTTCCGTCATTCGTAGACCGCATCAGATCTCTTTCGCAATTCACTATCATACATCACACTTGCTCCAAGCCAAGCTCGTGCCTGCATTGAATGATGTTCACAGTTGCACTCAATCGAGCTCGGTTTCTTTGCCAATACTCGCAGGCTCTCCGTGATGTCAAGCAGCTGGACTGCAGCATCTTCAACTCCTCCTTGATGTCTCAGTGATGCCTCCATGCAAAGATCTCGACTTTGGTAAGACGAAAAATGCTCGTTTTCATAGCCTGTCAAGCTCTGGTCCTGATCTTGAGAGAAAGTGTCTTTGACTCGGAGCGAGCCACGGTGATGGTGGGCAGGAGTTGCGACATGAATCTTCATTCTACTGCGATATCGGTGGGGTGTGACTATGATATCGCCCATGTTGGGGTGCAGCTACCAACTTGATCTGTCGCAAGTACGATGCATCGCTGTGAATTGCGAAAGTGGTCTCGTCTGATCTACGAAAACGAATGCAAAAGAGGATTGGTGATCTTTATCTGTGTACAACGTTCAAGGTTGTGACAATTGTGCTGCCGAATGGTGGCTTGACGCTCCATACAGAACGACGAGGGTGACAGAGGTCAAACTGTAGCAACGTAGCGGCGGGTGAGATGTGATCGCCAGGGGTTGATCCGAGTCGACATCAACGGGCTTGCCTGGTCGTGGGTCGTAAGTTTCAGAGGCAACGGAGCTGACCATGAAGCTCAAACCCGTGCGCAACGGGATGCTAGTACCCCCAAACGATGCTACGCGCCCAACGGCGCTCTTCAGTATCTATAAAATAAGCAGCGCCACCGGGCAGGAGTCGACCTGATCTGTATTCCTCGCTCCAGTCTATAGCCTTCATCTGAACCCAACTTACCGATCGATATGTTGTTCTTTGCTTGGTTCCTACTCTTTGCTGGCAGCGTTCTCGCTGGTGGTGGGGGGTCCAGGAGCCGTGGAGGCGGCGGCGGAAACGCGTTGCGCGCGTACACGAACCTGCACCGCTCGCTGCTCGAGCCTATTGGCTTGTACAATCCTCGTCCGCAGATTGTTGCGCCGATCAGTCCGCCCTTCCAGAGTCGCAACAGGGTTGCCGACATGCAGAACTATCTGCGCAATCTGTACAACCATGAAGCCTACATCGATCCCGAGTCAGGCTCTGTTCTAGATCGTCTGCGTGGCAACATGAATTGGATCCTCAACCACCCTAATGATCCTCGCATCAGAGACTACCAGCGTAAGCCCATGCTCGCTCTCGCTCGAATCGGCTCCGCTTGGAGGGGACATACTAAATGATGGTGCGATCTATGATTCTTCAGGTGGACTTATTTCGGTGATGGAGGAGGCCAGCGGACATGCCAGATTCGAGATGCAGAATGCCCTGCATCCTGTCAACGTCCGCGCGCAGCATGCCGTGCCCATCCGTGCGCTCGGGACCAAGGTCGGCAGTGTCACCAGCGTGATCCAGGCTGGTTCGAACTCGAACCAGCTGACGAGCCACCTCGAACAGGCCGACCAGGACCGGTTTGCCAACGCATTCGAAGTGCTGTTTTCCGAGAAACAGCTGCTCAACGCCGCAGAGCGTCACGCTACGAGCATCCCCCGCCTCTAGCCCTGAGCCTCAATCGCTTGCCTATCTCCCATTCGACCCACTGTGATCTTGACATACTTCCGACTGCACCTTGAAATGCGACATTGATTGTCTGCAACCTCCGCAGTTCATACACCCATAATGCACGTCAAAAATGACGGGTTGCCTGAGAAGATTGCGGGACCCGACCATGCTTGACAACACATGCATTGTGACCTAGATATTCCCGTAGCGGGGATCTGGAGGGGCCAAGAGACAATTGAGCTCATTACAGCACCGCAAGGAAGTATCACTCAATGGTGCTTGTCGACGTCGCTTCGGCTGAGGATAAAGAGAAGACCGAACCGATTGCGTGGTGTTCCTAGCTTTCGATCTCTACAAGCGTCGTGGTATAAGACTGGCCTGAATTGGAAGGGTTCAGCATCTGCACGCACCACATCCAACAGCTGTTAAGATGATTTTCGTCCTCGTTCTGTCGATTCTGATCATTGGTACGGTGGTAGCGCCGCACCCTAACCAGGGCATTTCGGGGCTACCCATGAACCAAGACGTGTACAACACTGCGTACTTTCACAGGCTTTCGCAGGTTCACGCGTACGTGGGTACCCCTTCCATCACTGCTCCCCTTTCGCCTCCTTGGCCCGAGCATGAACAGACCTGGCAGATGCAGCGCTACGTCAACCTGCTGCACCAGCACGACGCCTACATCGACCCCGAGGCTGGCCGACATCTGGACCGTCTGCGCAAAAACGCTATTTGGCTGTACAATCACCGAGACAGCTCGCGCATCTCAGCACACCAACGTAAGCTCCCTCCCCATTTCACCCTGACTCGTTTCCCTTTGGTCGTGGCAGAAAAACTGACGCGCGGTTTGTGTTAGGCTCCTTTGTGGCGGCCATGGAGGAGGCGGGCGAACAGGCCAGACAGGACCTGCAGGCTGCACTGCATCCCGTCAATGTGCGTGCTCAGCATGTCGAACCCCTACGCAGCCTCGCGAACAAGCTCACCACCACCCTCAACGCGATCGAGGGCGATCTACTGAACCATCTCGCCTCCGGGCTGAGCGTGGACGAATGGACGAGATTGAACTATGCGCACTTGCTGCTCAAGACCGAAAGGGACATGCTCATCCTCGCTGCCGACAGGTACGCCACTCGCCTGCCGCGCCTTGGTCTGTAAGCAGCCAATCTTCATTTATACTTCCCCCTTGGCCTTGAGCCAGCCAAAGACCCCCATTTATGCTCCGTCGTTAGTCCGTACCCAATCGTTCCCCGTTCAAACCTCCTCTTTCCTCGCTCACCAGCCAATCTCTATCCATACTTCCACATATTGCTTTGATTCTTCGCACGCTGTGTAAGAAAGCGACGTATTGGCACGATTCGAGACACAGGATGGGAAGAGTAGCGAGTAGAAAGTCGGACAGTGTTGATGACAGGCTGATGGTGTTTAGCAAGCAGACGAGAGGAGCAACGTATTCAGGGGGGAGAGTGTGGGCGAGAAAGAGTGTGTKTGTGTGTGTGTTGGCTGGTGCGGAGGTGTTCAATAGCACAGGCGTTCAAGGCCATCAGCCTTCAACCTTTCATATCCGGTCTGGAGTCAATCACTGTTCCGTATTAGCGCCAATATGATGGTGGTGGGCTCAATGTGAGGCCCCCCTGCGTCGTCCGCCGGCGCATCCAATAGGCACCAATGCGAACCGTCCCGTTCAACCAGTCTCATGCTCACACGATCAGTGAAAATGTGTGGCTCGCACGATGAATGACAATGTGTCGAATGTGTTGCAACAGCTAGTTGCAGGGGCAATGCAGCGAGGCTGGCAGGTTCATGACGGAGCTTGGCATCGCGGCGCCCTCCCGTGGCGCAGCAACCGCAATGCCACTGGTCGTCAACGAGTCACACAGCGCACCAAGCCCCGATCCTTTCTCATCCAACTTGAGTCTGAACTGTCGCAGACTGTCGTATAAAAACGGCTCCACGTTCAGCACGGGATTGGCTCGACCCCCAACATCCGCCTGCACCTTCAGCCAGCATCCAGAAGCATCTTTCCGACAGAATGAATCTGATTGTCGCGTTCTTCTTGCTGCTCGTTGCTGGGGCGATGGGCCAGATGAGCGCGAATCTGCAGATGTATTCGTCGGCGCTCGCACCTGTGCAGGCATACGTGGCGAGCCCGCACGTCATAGCGCCCGTCTCTCCACCGTGGCCACTCAACAACCCGACGGCAGCGATGCAGCGCTACCTCGGCGCGCTGTCGAATCTTGACGGCTACATCAGCCCCGATGCTGGTGCGCACCTCCAGAGCGTCCGCAACAACGTTCGTACCGTCGTCGAGCACGCTAACAGTCCCAATGCCCGTGCCTACCAGCGTAAGCCTGCCCGCCGCC